TTATCAATTGAATTAAGACCTGGAAAATTTTCAAAAAGTGATAGAAGTAATATGTTTATTACTTGGCAAACCCATGAAGGTTTAAACAGTTAATTCTATTGTTGAACTTGTGAGTTTTTTAATTAATAGCAATGTAAGTTATGTATTAACTGAAAGGTTTTGCCAGGATCCTTTAGAAAATTACTTCGGACAACAACGATCAATTGGTAAAAGAAAAGATAATCCTTCCTTGTTTGATTTTGGGTTCAATGATAATACCATTCGAAATCAACATATATTTTACCCAATTGCAGGTAACTGTCTAAATATTAATGAACCAAACAGAACAACAATAAAGGAGAGTATGAGTCGTATACCACGCAGAAAATGGACTTACTCTCAAAATTCTATCGATAAGAAAAGTTGAATTTTAATGAGATTTGATAAAAAAACTCTCTTATGTCTCCTCGTACTGCTGAAAACAAATAAATGAATTTGCATAAAAACGGCTATTTTCACAACCACAAATTTTTTAAAAACATTAAATGGCATATAAATAAAATAAATTGTTTTTTGTTTGTTTTACTTTTGTTACAATATAAACCTATGCTTTTTATAGAACCTCTAATTTATAAAGATTTATATAAATATTTTACAAAACCTTTAATAACTGCAATTTTATATGGAATCGTAGTTAGGGGTGAAATTCTTAAAGCTTTTCTATTTTTCATAGGTACCACTGCAGGCCAACACCTCTCCTCTAAAACCTGTCATTAGGGCCCCACAGTTTGAAAGCATATTTTGAATATTAGCAATGACATTAGCTCCTCAAGTTTGTTTATGGGCTCTACAATTTTATGGGCCCTAAAATTTTCTACCCACTGATTAAGGGCCTGGGGGAGTCTATATATATAGGGGGCTGTCCATTAATTACGTCAACAAAATAGGGGGAGGGGGGTCTGAAGTTTTTTGACAGTTGTTAACACGGGGGAGGGGGAAGGTCAAGTAAAGTTGACGTCAACAATGTTTTTGTTTTTAAAAATTTCATTACTCAAAAAACAGAAAATTAGGCGGTATTTTTTTCATTTGAGGGGGGGGGGGGGATAATCAAAAGTTGACGTAATTTTATAGGGGGGAGTCTCTAAAAGTTTGACAAATTGTTGACAAGGGGGAGGTAAAAATTTCAAAAAATTTGTTGACGTAATTAATGGACAGCCCCTAAGAGAGATAGAGTTGTTTCTAGGAAAGTGGGGAGGCAACAGGATAATTTTGCCCTAGGCCCTAATGATTTTAGGGACATCAGGCAAAAATCAAGGACATTCTTTATATTTTGAAACACCAAATTTGCCTCTTACTCATCAATAAGGTTGTTGTGTAGAGGCAGGGCTATTATAAGGTATAATACCCCCTCCTCCCACCCCATCTAGATTTGTAGCCAACAAGTTGACAAATTTGGATCTAGATGTTAAATATAAAAATCAAGAACTTTGTTTTTAAGTTAGAAGATATGCTTATTACCCCCACCCCCCAAAAAAAATTATTTGCACACAAATAAATCTGGAACACATGAATAAGTAAGAATAACAAAAAAAACTTTTACTTTGCACCTATTTATTTAGATGTATGGTGTCATAATCTTGACCCAGTTGAGCTGGGAGAGGCCCATTTTATATATAATCTCAGATATAATCTGATTAATACAAAAGATGACTAGAATTTTGACATTTGGGTAAGATTTAATAGGCCAACTAGGATACTTTTTTTTTCTTTTAGGGGACTAACTTAAAAAATTGATTTTGTCTAGCTAATTATATAAAATATTTTGCCCCTGATTATATAAATCTGGCACAAATATACACACTAAATAAACACACACACACACACACATATATATATATATATATATATATATATATATATATATATATATATATATATATATATATATATATATATATATATATATATATATATATATATATATATATGTATATATATATATATATATATATATATATATATATATATATATATATATATATATATATATATATATATATATATATATATATATATATATATATATATATATATATATATATATATATGTATATATATATATATATATATATATATATATATATATATATATATATATATATATATATATATATATATATATATATAGCATTTGTTGTAGGTTGTTCAAACCGAGGTAGGAGGTAGTATCACTAGCGATAGTATCACAATAAAATTATATATATTATATCAGGAGTCTATTAGTCAGTCAGAGCAGAAAGTTAACATGAAAGTTTTTGTTTATTATAAATTTAAAACTATTATGTGTATATTATAATTTTGTACTACTATTTCATAAAAGTCCTTTGGGGTTAAGGTCCTAAATTCCTTATCAATCACTTATTGACACAAACAAATCAAAACATTTGACAAAAAAAAATCTTTGAAGAAAAAAATATTTTTTATGAAAAATAAATAACAGAGTTACTATGCCAATTATGCTTTTATGAAATTTGTTGCTATGAAAATAGCAGTTTTTGAATGTGATATTTCATTAAACTATTTATTCGAATCCAATAGATGTTTTTTTCATTTTTGAACGGAGTGATTTTGACTTTGTTTGATTTTCTTTAAGTTTGTGGATACTTAGTTTTTCTTTTGCATATGAAAAAGATCTTACTCTAACATAAAGTGTAACTAGATGATAAAACAAGTTTAAAGACAGTTCTTTGGATACTTGATTTGTGCAAAGACTACGAAGTTCAGATATGCTTGCCATAACAACACTGTTTTTTAAAATTTCTGTTACAATCAGTTCTGAATCAATTTTTTTTACAAAACCATTACTTTGTTGGCGAAAGAGAACCTCGACTTTGGTAAAGATCTCTAAAACAGGAGGAGACACTTTCCACAAACCACCGCGATTTTTTGCATTTACAAATTTATGGTAAAACTCAGTGGATGGTTCAGGATTCTTTAAAAAATTTTCAATTTTACCAGCATTAAGAAGTGAAAGGCAGTCTGTGCTTAACTTTTGCTGCCATAACCGTGAACTCCGAACTCTGCAATAAAATGTACTGAATACATAGCCACTTAAATACAAGATTATTTCTTTATCTCGATCTGAAAGTTCAAAAGATGATAAATCATTTAAATTTATTAAAGAATTATTGTAAAATGAGTTTGTAAGAAACGCTAAAACATGATTGCATAGTTCACATCCAAGAAGTCTAGTTGTTTTTTTACTTAGATAGTTTATGAAAGTATCACAATTAATATCTTTGTAAAATTGAGGATAAAACTTTTCTGCATCACCATTAGCTTGAAAACTGGCTATTGTTGTCTCTAATAAAGATAGGGTTTGTTGTGAAGTTTCTAATAGCATTGCATGATTTATTCTCAACTCGTTTCTATACAAATCAGGATAGCATTCGTCGTCAATTAAAGTAGTAATACTTTTATCAAGCAGACTTTTAAACTCGCTAAGAAGAATAGGGGGTTTAGGATTTTGTAATGTTAAGTCCAAAGGAATACCTTTATGCTGTGAGTTTGTATGCCTTGTAAGGCCTCTTTGAGATATGCATTTCTTAGAGCAAATTGTACAAGAAAATGTGCGTTTAACTGGTTCAATGGACAACTCCAACACCAAGGCGTCTAAATCTTTATTAAAATTTTCGTCTTGAAAAAGGAAATCGTCCTCCAAAGAAAAAAATAGTGTTTCAATATCAAATTCGCTATTTAACTCTATGTCCGTTTCCATATTTTGTGCACTCTGTTCCTGGCCGTTCGACAGTTTTCAAGTGTTTTTAACGAATATTAGAAAAATCAAATAATACGGCCCGAGTGACCAGACTATCTATTTCTTATGACTATGCAAAAAGTAACAAAACTGATATTAATCAAATCAAACTGATATTTATCAAAAAAAGCTTTTTAATTTTCAAGTAAAAACCAGGTTTTTTTGAGAAACCAGGTCAAAATCTTATTAAAATATAAAAAGTGAAATCACCTAAGCAAAAATTTTTTTTTATTTAATTTTTATTATATTTGGATTTTCCGTCAAATTATGCAACTTTTAGTAACTCCCCAAGTTTTTTCTAGAAAAAATATCAAAAATCGACACACCCTATTATATAAGTGGATTTTTGACATTATAAACAATATATGTATAAACAAATGACATATTTGATTTTATATATATTTATTACGTAGAGATGGTTGAGCGCATCTAAGTTTAAAAATAATTAGTTTATATTCTCGTAGATGGCAAACTCAGGACGCCGGCTTGCTACGAGTATACTCGTAGTTGGCAAATATCAAGCGTTTACTTACTACGAGTATACTCGTAGTTGGCAGCGAACAGGTTAACTATCTCTAGTTAAAAATTTTTTTTAAATTGCGTTTATCTCGAAATACGTAATAAGCATATTAAGGCGTTTTGAAAAACAGCTGCAGCACATATTTATTGCAGAAAAATAAATGTAGCAAACAAAAACTACTTATTGTCAATAGAAATTTTTAAACTTTTTTCTAATAACGTGCTTTTTTTTTTTTTTTTTTTTTTTTTTTGCAGCACTTTGTGGAGTAGCACAACTGTTTTTAAAAGTTTTTTTATTAAGTTTTAGAAAACGTTTTTTTCAGACCATCTACAGCTTATTAGGACTAATTACCTAAGCATGTTATTAGCTTAAGTATATCAATCATGACACTTACGCATCAATTTTTTTCTTCCGGTGTTTTGATGTTTTAAAAAATATTACTTTTTTTAAAATCATTTCGTTCGTTTAATTGTATGATATCGTTACATATGTTTTTATAATATACAGTGTTGGCGAAAAGTATTGCAACTTTTCTAAATTTAACATTTTTATAAAATTCGAAATGAATTTGATGTTTATATATCATATGTTCATAAAAAAAATGATAAAATCAAACAGCAGCACACTATGTAAACATAAAATTATGACGTCATTATAATTAAACGTGCTGCGTTATATATTATTCTTAAGAAACCATATTTGGGAATAGCATAGAAAATTTTCATTTTTTTCGCTTTTTGAGAGGTATAGTTTAATTATAATGGGTCTCGGCAAAGGAGAAAACGTGCGATTATTATTCAATATTCGAAGGATGGTTTGAAGCAGCGAGATATTTCTTAGAAATTGTGTTTAACTAAGTCTTCAGTTTGTCGAATAATTAAGAAATACAAAGCTTCCGGGTTAGCATCACCACTGAAACGTTCTGGACTACCCAGAGTAACAAAAACACGTGATGACTCTCTATTCCGACGCTCTGCAGTCAGAAATCCGACTGTATGTCAAAAATCACCCCGGATCTTTATCAAAAATCACCCCGGATCTTTGGTATCAACTGAACCAGTCAGTCGACGCCAATCCGTATCAAATGTGTGTTAATAAACCATAGACAGCTTTCTAAGTACTAGATATTTATATATGAACACTTCTTTCAAATGTGTTTTTTTTTTAAAGTTGCAATACTTTTCACAATATATATATGTATATATATGTAAATATATATATATAAATATATATATATATATATATATATATATATATATATATATATATATATATATATATATATATATATATATATATATATATATATATATATATATATATATATATATGTATATATATATATATATATATATATATATATATATATATATATATAAGATTAATTTCAATATAAAATGTATAAGAAAAAATGGAAGTTATTATATAATGTTGTTATATAACATCTTGTTTATATATTAACTTATATATAACTTATATATTTATAATTGGACTTATTTTTAACATAAATCGGCTGTTAAAGCCTAGATCAACTGGGCTCTGTACATTGTCATTGTACATATACACAGTCATTAAATAAATAAATAAATAACTTGTTAATAAGTTATATATTACTTATTATTAATAAGTTATAAAAAATTTTTACATTATTGTATAATATTATTGAAATTATATTTTATTTTACTAATAATACAATAACACCTTGATAAATCTAAATTGTATACATTATTAATGTAAATAACAAATGCACATGCACTCAGACACACACACACATATACATATGGTTATAATTTTGTGAAATGTTTGCATTGTTTATTTGTTTGTTGTTTTTGGTTTTTGTTTTTGTATTCTTGTGTTATATTCAGTGGGCATTATAATAAATGGTTCATATTGTTATATGTTTTACTGCATTGTTTACATTAGTATGAATTTTTTATTTAGTTAAATTTTGCTAACTTTGTATAGTTAGCTATTGTGTTTATAAAAACAAGTGTTGTGTTATTTTCATTATTATTATTGTTATTATTATTTCTAATATTATTGTTATTGTTTTTCTTGTTTTTTTATTATTGTAGTTTTTTTGTTTATTACTCTAAATACCATTTTTATTATTATCATTACTTTTCTATAACTATTAATAATTATATATATAAGTATCTTTATTTTTGGTAATTTCTTAAGGTCTTCTTGGGGTAATAGATGGAACGGCGATACAAATTAAAGAAGCCACTGGGACTGATAAGCCAGCTTATATTTGCAGGTAAACTAATCATTTTAATTTGATATCTCATTTTTATTGTATCATTTTAGGTTAATAAATTAATGCATGTTTATTTCCAAATTTGTTAATTTTTTAAATTGCACATCATAGTTCTATAAAATTTAAAAATGTTAATTCAATTAATAGAATACTATAAAATAAATAATAATAGATCACATAAAAAATAGTTTGTTTTTTTCTGCCCAAGGTTATACCAGGTTGACAGACTAACATGTTACCAATGTTTCCCAAAAAGTTTTTATTTAACTGTTCTCTGGACTTATATATGAACATTTAATGATTTTTAACTCCTATTTTATAGAAAAGGATATCCTGCTCTGAACTGTCAAGTTGTGATTGATCATGATGGGAAGTTTAGAGATGTTGTTGCAAAGTATCCTGGATCGTGTCATGATGCTTTTATTTTATAAATTCAGCATTAAAAGAGACATTGGAAGATAATCCTTGTGGTTTTCTTTTTGCAGACTCCTGATACCGGTTTTCACCAGTCATGATTACTCCGTTTAATCAGCCAACTGCACCTCAGGAAATCTATTTTAATGAGGTTCATTCTTAGATACGTAGTAATATGCAGCAATCCATTAGTCGTTTAAAAAACCATTAGAGATTTTTGCACGAAAGTGGTGGAGCACTTCAGTACACCCCAACAACTTGCTGCAAAATATTTTTTACATGTGTTTTATTAGAAAACTTATCTGTCATTGCTTTAGATTGGAATTTCTAGATGACATCAACTTTGAGGATAATGAGGAAGATAATTTACATGATGATCAGACTGAGTTAACACAAGCCGATTTGGTATTGAATGAAAAACAGAAATCAAACATTATTTGTTTTCAAATCAAAGGCAATGATATATTGTTAAATTTGGCATAGAAGTCTGCAGGATTCTTTTAATATTTAGATTACACTTGAAGGCATTGTGTAAACTCCAAACTAAACATTGTTCATGTTTATGTCAAATTACAAATATTTTGGAAAAAAAAGCATCAAATTGAGTTTGGTAACAAAAATATGTATAAATTTTTCCCTCAAACCATCACCCCCTCCTTCTCGCCTCCACGTCAAATGTCAGGGCATTGAGTTAAGAAAATAGCATTAAAATGCCTAAGTACAGAGTTTGCACAACGCCTGTAAGTGTCATATCTGAAACATCACAAAATCCTGCAGGCCCTTATAAAATGTTGTAATTTATGTATACAAACTTTTGTTTATTTATGTTTTAAGTAAACACTATTTACGTGTTACTCATGATTCAAGTAGATATAAGTAATTATTGCAAGTTTAGCTAGTTTATTACGGGTTGCTTACTGCTAATATCAATTATTACACAAATGCAATCAATATTTTACTTTAATGTAAAACGCCAATGTTTTTCCTACTTATATTTGCCTTTTTTTTTTTTTGATTTTGCCGTTTCATATATTTACAATAAAGGTATATTACATTTATAAAAATTGGCCGGAGCAAGAAGAAGACAATGACAGTCTTATCACCGAGCCCCGTTTACAAACACCGTTTGCCCGTGTTTATAAACAAATATAAATAAAGTATACAAAAAAACGTTAAAGAGTACATAACTTTTGTCAAAAAATAAAATGACATTTATATTAGAAACTTAAAAATAAAGAAAGTTTTTTGTACTAATACAAATATATTTGATACATATAACAAAATATATTTAGTGCTAATGGAAGCGTTTTTTTATATTTTAAAATCACCTTTTAAAAAAAATAATTAAATTCTATTAAATTAAAATCTAATTAAAGTAAGATTCCTTTAGAAACTATTTTAAATTTTTCTAAAAATTAGGGTTCTTTATTAAAGTTTTTAATAAAATGTTTCCATAAAAAAGGTCCTCGATATTGAATTCAATAAGAACTTATTTTAAATTTTATTCTCGGAACAATAAAGTTATCCTCTAAAATCTTTGTTGAATAATAATGAGATATTGCGCTAAAATAAGATTGATATATAAGTGGAGATATTCCATGTTTCATGCAATGTTGAGATATTCCTATGTTTCCCCATGCCATTTTGCAGTAAGAAATATAGCTGTGAATAAATGAAAAACAAATTTTCATCAGAGCTTTTCCGTTTAAAAATGGTTTTGCTTTATAAAGTACGGAAACATTATATAAGATTTACTTTCAATAGATTATATGTGAAACTTCCATGACAAGTTTTCATCAAGAATTACGCCTAAAAAGTTAACAGTAGATTCCCTTTTTACATCTATTTTATTAAGTAAAGATTTGACTGTTTAAGTGGAATATTATCAACTTATTTGGTTTGTGGAACAGGATGATTTTAGTTTTATCTACATTTAGTGAAAGGCTGTTACGTATATACCATTCATTTACTTTAGATAAGTCTTCATTTAAAATTTTAAAAAGATTTTCTATATCTCTTCGTGAATAAAACTGATTGGAATCGTCAGCAAACAATATAAGATATAATTTTTTAGATGCTAAAAATATGTCATTTATATACACTAGAAAAAATAATGGTCCTAAGATAGATCCTTAAGGAACCCCTCAACTTATAAGTTTTTTTTTTGGTTCATTTGTTTCATATGTTATGCATTGTTTTCTGTTAATCAAGTATTTTTTAAACCAAAGTAAGTTTAAGTTGTTTACTCCATAGAGTTTTAACTTTTTTTTAAAGATTTCATGATTGACAGTGTCAAACGCTTGTGATAAATCAATTAAAACTCCTAAGGTAAAATATTCTTTATCAAAAGCATCCGATATATGATTTACAAGCTCAATTACCGCGTGATCCACAGAATGATTTTTTTTAAATCCAAATTGTTTGTTGTACAGAATATTATTTGATACTAAATGATTATAAAGTCTATTGCACATAATGCGTTCTAGCAATTTAGAAAAACAAGGTAATACAGAAATAAGTCTTTAGTTTGAAACATTAGTTTTTTTACCTGACTTAAAAATCGGTGTAATTTTGGCTATTTTAAGTTTGTCTGGTACAATACGAGACATTAATGAGAGATTAAAAATGTGTAACAATAACGGTTCAATAATATCAAAGACTGATTTAACTATATTGACGCTAATTTTATCTATGCCTGCACTTTTGTTATTTTTCATAAAGGAAAAAGTATTATGCAACTCACTGATATTTAAATTTAGTTCTGTCATAACATTATTTGCTATTTTGAGTACTTTTTTCAAATAGCTTTTCATAATAAGATTTTTTTGAAAACTTTTTTATTATGTATTTTATTTCATTATGGTATGTTTTATGTCGTAGATATTTTTCATATAGTTTTTGTTTTTTCTTTGAAGATTTGATTAAACCTTTTGTCATCCACGGATTCAAAATAGACTTAGAATTTAATTTAGAGTCAGGGTTAGGGTTAGGTAGAATAGAATTTGATTAAAGGAAATGCCTTATTATATTGTATACTAAAAAACGCGAGGAATAATTCATAAGCATTATTTGCATTTTGTGTTTCATACACTAAGTTCCAATCAACAGTATTTTTTAATAGATGGCGAAAATGGGCTAAGATGTTTTTATTGATTTGACGTACAAATATTTTGATTTTATGGAATTGTTTTTTAATTTTATGTTTTTAGTGGTTAGAAAGATAGGGATATGATCACTTATGTCGGTTTTAATTATGCCTTTTCTTACGCAGGATTTTTGAAAATTGTTTGTTATTAAGTTGTCGACTAATGTTGTCTTTTTTAATGATGTCTTTTTTATTCTTGTTGCCTCATTAATTTTTAAAATAAAATTATATTTTAAAATGGTGTTAATAAAGCATTTAGCAATATATTTTGATGCATAAATTAAAATTTTTATGATAAAATCTCCAACTAAGTATACATGTTTCCGATTTTTACTGGTTTGGGTAAGAGAATTTTTAATGTCAGCTTTGAAATTTTTTAAATTTCCAGCTGGTTGTCTATAAATAGAGTTTACGAAAATGTTTTTATCGTTTTTATTTAATTATTTCAACGCATAACGACTCACAATCTGTTTCATTCACACAAAGATCATTACGCTGAATAAAATTTAATGAGTTGTGAAAGTTTTAAAGTTTTCAAAGTTTTTACTCATACTCCGAATGTTTAGAGTTAAAATTAAGAAAGCATTACTGTTCTGAGAAAGAAAAAGAGTAGATTCAGAAATTAAAAAATACTCAGTTTCAAAGCTTTTTTCACAAAAAAAAGTTTCATTATCATTATTACTAAGCTTTAGATCTTCGTAGTTAAATTTTGTAGAGAAGTTATCTTCCATTTTAAAAACATAAAATATTAAACAAAATAAAGAAAGAACAAGGTTGTATACATGAATGAATAAAAAAGATTTAAAATATAACGAACCTAATTCTTTTTTCGATTGGAGGCCCAATCACGTATGATTAACCTATCGTGCAATATAAAACCGTATTTCCCAAATGCTTGTTCTACTTTCATCTTTTCTTTTAAAGCTCTTCTTATTTGTGTGGTCTCATTAATGATAATATTTTTTCGTTTCAGATGAAAAGAATTTCTGTTTTAGCTTTGAAATCCAAAAGTTTTAGCTCGATCGTTCGTGGCTTTTTTGCATTTTTCTTTCCAGTTTTGTGAGCTCGTTCTATTTTAACATTCTTTACATCTAGATAATCTTTAAATAATTATTTTACCTTTGACTCGGTCTCTTCCCAGTTTTCGTTTTCATCCTCTTTTACACCGTCTATTATTAAGTTATTTTGCCTCGAACGATCTTTCATTTCTCTTAACTTGTTTTTAGATTAAAGAATTCCGAGTTTAAATAGTTATTTCACTACCAGATAGATTTAACTTTTCCTGATAACTAAATGCAGTTTTTATTTTATCATCAATAAGCTGTTTATAAAAATTTAAGCCTAATTTTATTTCTTCATCATTTTTTATTATTGACTTAACTCGTTCGGCATTGTCGTTTATATTTTCTTCAACTTTATCTAAGCGGTCATGAGTTATTTTTGCGCTAGAACTTACAATGACTATAATGTTTTTTTCTTGTTGTTTAAAGATTTCTTCGTTAGTTCAACTGCAAATGCAATGCAGTTAGGCCAATTAACGCAGTATGCCGTTAACCCAATAAAGAATCCAATGCATTTTTGCTAACTGAAAAAAAAAAAAAGATATTTATCTAACTGCAAATCCAATGCAGTTCGGCCGATTAACGCAAACTTCTGTTTACCCAACAACCGGCTGCTTGCGTTCTCTAGCTAGTTGCTAATAATTTTTATTCATGAATTTATAACAAATCTTATACAAGAACGCATTGTTTTAGTGACGCTACGTAAAAATTTGTTAGAAAACCTATCCCAAGTAACTTGCACCCTATACACCATATTTTGGTACAAAAAAGAATCCAAAAAAATTTAGTAGGTACCTGTTCATGAATACTTAACAAAATATATGTTATGAAAACTAATGTTCACACTGACTACAGTTTAAAACAAAACTCTTTATTTATTAAAATAAAAAGATATTAATTTAGTCAACCCAACAACGAAAACAAATGCTTATTAATATACCATTTCAGAAAATGAAGTTACTGTTGGTTAATTGATTTTTTGGAATATTCAATTATCATCAATTCCATATGTTTGCAGACATCATTTCTTCGATGTTTCTTGTTAAGATTCATAAACTTTCCTACTGAATAATTTGGGTGTTGTTCTCCAATTTTGCGGAGTAAAATTATTGCACGATTGTAAATACCTTCACTCTTTTGTTTCGTTCGTAAGCACTCTATTAGAGAGGATTCAAAATCCAGGTCGTGCGCCACATTTACCCACAACGTTTCCCAACTTAATCGTATGCTCATCTCATTTATAAAACCGTACTTTAATTCGTTAGTAGAGTTGTAACTTCTATCCAAGTCTTTATATTGAACCTTATTAGAGTCTAAAGCCTTTTCAAATTCTTCTCTAGTGACAATTTTTAAGTTTTTTAGGTGTTCTAAAAACGCTTTTCCAGAGTTACCACCACCTGTTTCTCCCTGTTTAATATCACTAATATCTTTTGGAGTAAATTTAAATTCATCTGAATTAGCTAACTCGTCGATAGTATCTCCAATATTCAACAAATCGAGGAGTGTACTTTTTTTATACTGCAATT